AACTGTTTTTGAGATATTGATCAAAATGTAAAAAAAATGTCCAGGAGGTACCCCTTAACGTAAATAGAAGTTACGTTAGAAACTTAATATGTTAAATTTAATTAATAAAATAAAATTAATATATTGGTACCGAATTAAAGACAATTTTATGAGCTATAACTTGGTATTTCTTGGCAAAAAACAAATATTTTTTGAGATATTGATCAAAATGTAAAAAAAATGTCCTGGGGGTACCCCTTAACGTAAATAGAAGTTACGTAACAAAACTCAATATATTAAATCTAATTAGCAAAATAAAATTAACGTATTAATATGATATTAAAGGAAATTTTATGCGCTACAATTTTGAAATATTGATCAAAATATAAAAAATGTCCTGGGGGTACCCCTTTAGGTAAATAGAAGTTACGTTAAAAAATTTAATATATTAAATCTAATTAGTTAACTGAAGTTATTGTATTAATATCAGTTTAAAGTAAATTTTACAAGCAATAATTTTGTCTTATACTAGTTTTTACAAAACTCAATATTTATCTATATTTGAGATATTGATCAAAATAAAATGTCCAGCATGTACCCCTCAACGTCAATATAAGTTACGTTAGAAAATTCAATATATTAAATCCAATTAGTAAAATAAATTAATTATATTGATAGAATATCAAAGAACATTTTACGCGCTACAACTTAGATTCCTACTATTTTTTACAAAAATAAATATTTTTTGAGATATTGGTCAAAATATAAGGAAATATCCAGGGTGTACCCCTCAACGTCAATATAAATTACGTTACAAAATTTTATATATTGTATCTAATTAGCAAAACAAATTTAACATATTAGTATCGAATTAAAGAAAATTTCATAAGCAACAATTTAGTATTATATCATTTTTCACAAAAACAATTATTATCTGAGTTATTGATCAAAATATAAACGACTGTCCAGCAGGTACCTCTTATCGTTAGTACATGTTACGTAACAAAATTTAATATATTAAATTCAATTAGCAAACTAAAATTAACGTGTTAAAATCATATTAAAGGAAATTTTATGCGCTACAACCTTGTCCTATATAATTTTTCACAAAAGTCAATATTTTTCAAAAAATTTGACACGAACTAAAAAAAATCACGCACCTCCAGTGCAAAACCCAAGCATTAAAAATTCTTATTCTCATTAAAAGTTCTCATTTTACAAAATCTATAACCCGCGTCTAAAGAAGTTTCACTTCACCTCGATCCTCCTCTATCCTCCAGTTGTGGTGAAGGTCGAGTGGTTTCACCAGACGCCAAAGGTTGTGCAGACAAAGACGAATGTCTGGACCTGCCTTGTCTGAATGGAGGAACCTGCATAAATCAGGAACCCAGATTGAGGTACCGGTGTATCTGTCCTGACGGGTTCTGGGGCGAAAACTGCGAGTTGGTGCAGGAGGGCAGAACCCTAAAACTCAGTATGGGCGCTTTGGCGGCTATTCTAGTTTGTCTGCTGATGATACTCAGTGAGTCGAAGGGAAATAAGGGAAATAAAATTAAGGGAAAATAAGGGATGTAATACTACCATTTGGGGAAATGATACTGGGTTGTAGGGAATGCAATACCGATGGAAAATTTCAATACCGGTATTTTAGTAATTTTTCATTTTAAAACCGGGTAAATTACCGGTATTTTTATTATCTTAAACAAACCCAAACAAAATTGAAAGTTACTAGTACAAATATAAAAAAATGTATATACAACTACAACTATATTCAACTAAACAATAAAAACAATAAAATAAAACAATAAGTTTATTTTTTTAATTAATAATTTAACAAAATTATATCCAATTTAATTAATTCATTATCACTATCGAGTATATTGAGTATTTTTCACCAAAAACAAACTTATGGGTAATAAAGACCAAAAACTCATAAAAGATCATATTACATTATTTTAATAAACTGTATTGTCTGTATCCGATGTGTTATTTTAGCATAATCTCCAATATTTTAAAAATATAATTTTCTACACTAATTTAAGATTGGATACTTTGTCGAGATAAATAATAAGTTACTGTAATTGTTGAATATTGTTATTTAAAACAATGTGATGCTTCTATAGTATTTTCAAACTTCGAAACGTTTTTTAAAAAATAATATTTTATAATTGTAATGAGAAGCAAAAATATTAAGTAATTATCATAATTATTATGTATAAAGTTAGAAAAAAATAAAGATTACGCAAGGTAACGTGTATGATATAAAATATTTTGGCGCAAATATCACTTTACATTTTTATATAAGATGAAACAAACATCATTATCTATCAGTCCAATTCTATTTATTGTAACACGATATGAAGCCCTTAGTAAAGCAATAAATATTTAGTTTAATGACGAATTGAGATAATATTTGACATTTGTTTATCTTATAGAATCACTTGAAGATATAGCTGTTTATGCGATTATGGAATTCAAAGATAAATTTGTTCCGAGAAATTTAAACTTTAGTGTATTATATATCAAATAGCGCTTATGTAAAAATACCGAAAATACCGGTATTTTTGGGATAAATACCGATAAAATTACCGCCAAAAAATCGGGCGGTTTACCGGTAATTCGGTATACCGGTATACCGGTATTGCATTCCCTACTGGGTTGCCATTTGATAAAACCGATTTGGCCTATCAAAATTTAAGAAATGCAAGGGGTTTTTTTTGGAGTTTGGAGTCCTGGTTTTACAACTCTTTCACCTCGTTCTGGTGAACTTTTTTTCAAAAATTCCTAATAAATATCACCAGCTCTTACTAAAAAAGTACCAAAGTGTCCAATCCAGAACCAATGATTTTTACCAAATGGTAGTATTGCATCCATAAAAGCATCATAGAGCCTTTAGGGCTGCCAAATAGCGATAATTTAGATGCATCTGCACCAAAAAACACATGTCTTTGTCCATAAATAGATACCCTGGACGATTGGATATCACTTTGTGTTATATATATATATATTATATATATATAATATATATATATATGTATATATATATATTAGGTGGTCCTTAAAATGGTCATTTTCGAATTTCCTTGCTCCCAGGGGCTCAAATGGTTCCAAATTGATAAAAAACAATTCTCTGAAAGTTTCAGCTCTTAATATTAACGTTTAGATAGAGCGCAATTCAATCAAACTTCGTATGGAAATAGCATGGAAAAATTTTCAAACATTTAAAAAATGTTTTTAGATATAATTTAGTGAACAAATGAATGAATAAAACTCATTCATTAGTCGCTAAGTTATACCTAAAACATTTTTTTTAAATTTTCAATATTTTTTCCATGCTCTTTCGATACGAAGTTTGATTGAATTGCGCTCTATCTAAACGTTAATATTAAGAGCTAAAACTTTCAGAGAGTTGTTTTTTTTATCTATTTATTATTCTAAAAATGACCATTTTAAGGACCACCCTAATGTAGATATAATGTTGCATGAGTAGTTATTAGATTTAGCATGAAAGTTTAGATACTAACTGGAATGTAGAACCTTGTTCCTTATTGAAGCAACCAAAAATTAAACTAGTGGTGTACAGCACCGTGCCTTAAGGCAAATTGCTAAAACTTCCCGTACCGTAATTAAATATTCGAGAAATTTTAAACGTTTTCAAATATATTATTACAAATACTGTAACTTTCATTGTTTTTGCTATCTTGTTATATCTGAGCAAATCAAATGTAAATCATAATCAAATATTACATTAACAATCATCATTTCATTTCGAATTCAATTTCAAAAAAAAAATAGTGGCCCTATTTTACACAAAATTGAAAAAGTGCTCCCGTATAGTCACAGTCTATAACGCATTTGCAAATAATTCTGTGCGACATTTTCACTTATACTGTGCTCAGCTTGGCGGCATTTTTACATTTTTCAATAGTTTTCACAAAATTGGAAAAGTACTCCGCGCATAAGCAGTCTAAACGCGCTTGGGTAAACATTTGTACCGGAGTGGCGCTTAGACTGTGCTTAGCCTGGGTGATTTTTTGAATTTTTAATCCAAAATTACGAAAAAATTTTATAGAAAATAAAAAAAGATGTAATAATTTTTTATCCTCGAAAGCAATTGTTTTGGCAATACAAGCAGAAAGTTTTTTCTTACGCTTAGTTCACTCAAAAACTGCAATTTTTTGCACATTTAGCTCCGTATCTTCAAAATGGCGCGACCTGTCTTTGCCAAAAACTAATCACCTCATCTCCCAATCATTACAAATTGAATGTTTATTAGATCATTCAAATCGGATGCTCCGTTCTATCAAATATCGATTTGTATTTTCTGCACTCTTTGCTCCGTATCTCCGTAAAGGCTGGACCTGCCTTTGTCAAAAACTAATCAGCACATCTCTCTATCAATAGGGATCGAATAAACCATACAAAAGGGTTGATCCTTGCGCCCGTAAAGGGGGACGAAAAATTGTATCCATACATACACACACACACACACATCTATTTTGTTTCTGAGGTATGCCAAAATGTTCAGAAACCTTCAGAACGTCGAGAAATGCAAAAATTTCGGCTCATTACCCTACGGGAAGTTAATTATGCCAAATAATCTCTTCTAGTACAAAATCTATGCATGGTGGAAGCAGAATTTGTTGGTTCAATTCTGTTCTGAGTAATTAGTAAAATTAGTTTATTATCCAAATAATCTGCACGTGGAATGTACAACCTAAAGTATCTTAGTCAATCTATTACAAGCAGTCAAAAAACCTCTGGAAGACTTCAACAAAAACAGTCGCCCTATTTTGGAAAACCCAAAAATCAGCTTTTACATGTGTCCTTTATCCCTTTACCTCAGTTGTCCAATCGGTACAATAAAGTCTTCCGGAACTTGCATCAACGAAAACGAATGTCTTTCTGGCGGTGGCACATGGTCTCCTTGTGCAAATGGAGGTTTGTGTGTAGATCTTGAACCTCCAGAAGGATTGTACAGGTGCGATTGTCCTCCAACTCATACAGGAGCCAGGTGCGAATTGGAACTATTGGCCAGTGGCGTCCTGACACCGTCCAGGGATTTTGTTATAGCCGTTTTGGCTTGTTTTACTACACTGATCAGTAAGTAGATAAAAATAAGGGATAAAAATAGATAGATCTGCCAATAGATTAGTGGTAGATGAGGTAAGTTTTTGCTTGCTTGGTGGTGTATTTATTTGTCTAGGTTTAGCAACTTTTAAACCGTGCTTCTGATTTAAATGCAATATTTGGCAAATTTGTTCAAAATTCAATTGTGTACAAAGTTTTTTAACACTATAACGCTCTACAGCAACTCGGTATACTTTAAAATCACACTGAAACATGAACCTAATTTATAGAGTACATGGCGATGAACTAGCCGTTGCATTTAAGCAACTTTTAAACCGTTTGTCTGATTTAAATGAAATATTCGACAAATTTGTTTAAAATTAAATAACGTACAAAGTTTTCTAACACTGCAATGCCCTACAGCAACTCGCTATACTTTAAAATCACACTAAAACATAAGAACTAATTTATAGAACATATGACGCTGAACTAGTCGTTGCAGTCATTTACTATTTTTTTAGCAACTTTTGAACCGTTTGTCTGATTTAAATGCAATATTCGACAAATTTGTTTAAAATTTAATAATGAACAAAGTTTTCTAACACTACAATGCCCTACAGCAACTCGGTATACTTTAAAATTGCACTAAAACATATACCTAATTTATAGAGCATATGACGATAAAGTAGTCGTCGAAGTTATTTATTATTTGTTTTAGCAACTTTTGAACCGTGCGTCTGATTTAAATGCAACATATGGCAAATTTGTTTAAAATTTAATAATGAACAAAGTTTTCTAACACTATAATGCCCTACAGCAACTCGGTATACTTCAAAATCGTACTTAAACATAAGAAATAATTTATAGAGCATATGACGATGAAGTGGTTTTTGCGGCTATTTATTAATTTTTATGCAACTTTTGAACCGTTCATCTGATTTCAATACAATATTCGATAAGTTTGTTCAAAATTGACTAATGTACAAAGTTTTCTAACACTATAAAACCCTACTGCAACTCGGTATACTTTAAAATTGCACTAAAACATAAGAATTAATTTATAGAGCGTATGGCAATGAATTAGTCGTTGCGGTTATTTATTTTTTTAGCAACTTTTAAACCGTACATCTGATTTTAATGCAATTTTCAACAAATTTGTTTAAAATTGAATATTGTACAAAGTTTTCTAACACTATAATGCTCTACAGCAACCCGGTATACTTTAAAATTACACCTAAATATAAAAATCAATGCATAGAGCATATGATGGTGAAGAGGTCATTGCGGTTATTTATTATTTTAGCAACTTTTGAGCTGTTTGTCTAGTTTAAATGCAATATTTGACAAATTTGTTTAAAATTTAATAATGAACAAAGTTTTCTAACACTACAATGCTCTACAGCAACTCGGTATACTTTAAAATTGCACTAAAACATAAGAACTAATTTATAGAACATATAACAATGAAGTGGTTGTCGCGATTATTTATTTTTTTAGCAACTTTTAAACCGTTTGTCTGATTTAAATGCAACATACGGCAAATTTGTTTAAAATTTAATAATGAACAAAGTTTTCTAACACTACAATGCTCTACAGCAACTCGGTATACTTTAAAATTGCACTAAAACATAAGAAATAATTTATAGAGCGTATGGCAATGAATTAGTCGATGCGGTTATTTATTTTTTAGCAATACCCTACAGCAACTCGGTATACTCTTAAATTGTTTTTAAATATTACATACAATTGCAGTACAATTGAAGTAATAATTTGTTTACCAAAGGTACACTTTGTCGTTGCATCACATATAACTTCTAAACCAAACGACTAATATAAATAGTGTATATGGCAAAATTGTTTATAATTAATCAATATATAACAACAATCACTTGCTTGGCTTTAAAAATCATTTTTGTCTTCACAATTTGTGTTCAGCTCTCGCACTAGTCAAAAATCGTTTGTTCAGTTTGTGTCGTAGTGTTGCATTTGTTTAAATAGTTATTTAATTAAACATGTTAATATATATATATATATATATATATATAGTCATTTTTAAATTATTTATATATTTTGTCAATAATTTACAGTTTTGGTGCTCGTTTTCGTGGTTTACAATCGAAGGAGAGAGAGCCATGTTAAATATCCAGGAGGACCTGATGATGATGTCAGGGAGAATATTATTAATTACGGTAATTATTTATTAAAATACTCAAAATATTAGTTCAAAATGTTAGAATAAAATTTAGATTATGGAATAATCTAAATATTTTTCATACAACATAAATGTGTATATATAATTTTATTTAACACAACTTTATTTTGAAGTTCGACGTCTCCAAAATTTGTATACCAAAAAATAATTTCTACTTTAAGCCCGATATTTCCAAAACCATAATCCAAAATCATTTACTATATTAGAATAAAAGATAGATTACACAATTACCTAAATATTTCCCATACAACATAAACATGTACAATTAATTTTGTTTAATAAAAAATTCATTTTTTAGATGACGAAGGTGGCGGCGAAGACGACATGACAGCCTTCGATATAACGCCTTTACAAATTCCTGTTGGAGGGCCTCATCCGGCCCTGGGAGCCCCTGGTTTGGTGCCCCCTGCAGGAAAAATGCAGCCCTGCATTATGACGCAACCTGCATTCAGAAGTAAGTAGGAAAAAAATAGTAGCATGGAATTATTTATTTTTTGGATTATTTATTTATGCATGAAATTATATTTATCTACCTATTTCTTCATTTATTTAAAATTTTTATAAATATTTTTAGTAGTGCATATACTTATTAGTTATCAAGATAGAAAATTTATTTCTTATATTTTGCAAAAAATTATTTAAAGCCAAAATAAGTGTATAAATATTTTTTGTAACAGTCATGGAATTAACTAATGTCTTGTATTATTTTTTTATTGATTTTGCTTTTAGTATAGAATTTAAAAAAACACACACAAAATGCTTTAAATTTGCACCATTGTAAATTATTCTGGACACTTTTTGCTTTGAATTGGATACATTAAATTGCATATTTCCTAGAAATTTATATTTTTAACAGTAATAAATTTTCTATCACCTATTTTAAAATGTTTGAGTAATTTTTCTGTTTGTATTATTATTTTTTTGTGCTTGTATTATTAACTTTTATTTTTTCCTTCTTCTTCAGTACTTAGTCGGAGTTGTCCTGAGTTCAATTCCTTTACAAAGGAGACAAAGTTTTAATGACAATTAAGTAAAAAATATTTTTTCATAAATATCAATACGATTTATATTATTTTTTGGGTTGAACTCTGGAGTCTCTGCAGATTGGACATTCTTGTAGTTATTTTGGCATGTTGGTGAAAGGTTTGATCTTGTATATTTTGTAGTAATAAATAGTTATTTTTGTAGTTGAATTAGTAGTATTTTTTATTATTATTAGCATTGATTTCAGTTAGTTAAATTTGTTCAAAATATATATAACCGAAAGAGTAACAATGGTATTTTCTCGTTTCTTTCTCAAATTTCTGCTTTAAATTTTTTAGAATTTAATTGTAAAAGTAGTAGACATTTATTATTAATGCTCTACAATTTACTAAAAACAATACATGGTCGATCAAAAAAGCCTGAAAAACAATTTGGTGCCAATATTTGGTTCAAGTAATTTAAACTCACAGTAAGTTTATACAATTTTATTTACTTTAATGCGATTGATAATTTATTTTCATCCATGATTGTTAAAACTAGTCATTTATTTTATTACTAATATATTTTCTCACAAAAACCGTTATCATCAGTTCCATTGTTTTGTATACATAGAACAATTATATATATATATATATATATATATATATATATATACATATATATATATATATATATATATATATATTTATTTATTTATATTGTAATATTTTTGCAGCCCAATCTATTTTATGAATTAAAAAAAGATTAAATAACAAAATTCATTCAGTAATCTAAACAACATATAACATAAATACATAGTTGATAATAAATATAAATATATAAAAAGGAGAAAATTATACATACCAAACCAGGAAAAACAACAGCAAAAATTAATTGTGATGTAAAATTGATTGAACACTAAATTTGTGTAAAATAATAAATTACTATTATATTAACAAACGAGAAATTGAAGGTGCACATTTTGCCCTCCTATATTTAATGTTATTAATAGCAGTGCATTATGGATACTGATCAAGGTTACAACGCCAGTGTAGTCACGGAATTCACGGAAAAGAGTAAGTAAGTGTTTTTTAGATGACTGAATGATGACACACATCAAGTGTCGAAACGTTGAATGGAATAAATAATTTTGTTATTTAATCTTTTTTTTTTAATTCGACGGTTGGGCTGCAAAAATATTACAAATATGTATCAACGTCGACAAAACTATCATCATATATATATATATATATATATATATATATATATATATTTATTTATTTATTTATTTATTTATTTATTTATTTATTTATTTTTATGTATTTTTTCATCTAGATCCAGTGCCGTTAAATCCAGGGGAACCTCAGTCAGTGGCGGCGTTTATTGGGGAGCATAAAAAGCGTTCGGATGCTGACCCGAATGCACCCCCTTTCGACGACTTGAGGAACTACGCCTATGAAGGCGGCGGCTCCACCGCGGGCAGTCTTAGTTCGCTAGCATCAGGTAATAAATAAATATATATATATATATATAAATTTTTTTGGTTCAAAACCTTCTATAAATGCACTTGAATATATACAAAAAGTTTTATCCAAATTGGACAAGTCGTTTAAGAGCAGTTCGATGTCATACATACGTGCGACAGATTTTTATTAGGTTGTCAAATATCTCCCTTCCGCTTTTTTGCTCTTGGTTTATAATACAAGAAGGCGGAAGGGAGATATTTGACAACCTATTATGTTTTAATTTTTATATAAGAGTTATATTTTGGCTAAATTTGGTCGTTTAACAATTTTATAAATATTAATTTATAATAAAAATTATATTTTATTAGTAATTTTAATTAATTTTGACCGGCATGAGTTAAAAAAAACTTGTGGAAAGACAGTTGTTAAAAAAATTACTCATCCAGAATTTTATATTTTATTTTCTATCCTTTTCCAGGTACGGATGATGAGCAACAAGAATACGATTATCTAGGGGCCTGGGGCCCCCCGATTGATAAATTAGCCGACATGTACGGCCCCACTGGAAATGAACACGAACACGATGACGAACTGTAAAGAAAAAAAAATGACTAAAGAAAAAAAATTGGATGAAGACGAATTTAAAAATCTGGTACTTAAACTGTAAGTACATATATGTTTACATATCAAATAATTCGGTTTCGAACTTGTACTGGGATAAATAATTTGTTTGGCATCCTGACGAGTTCGAAATTATTTATTTGACGCAAATTTGTTCAAAGCAATCACCAAAAATACTCGAAAAATGGTACCATTAGGATTTAAGTATTTTTTTCATACAGAAATTGACCCATATTTTAACTTTCAAACTATTCATATAAAATAAATAACGCATTTGGCAAAATTGTACAAAATTAAGTTGTGTATAGAATTTTCTAACATCATAATGCCCTACAGCAACTCGGTATACTTTAAAATCGCGTTTAAAAATACAAAATCAAATCAAAGGTATTAAAAGTGCACTTGGTCGTAACTTGATGAGCATTTAATCAGTAGATCTCTTGTATCATTCAAACAGTTTATCCGACGTAAATAGTATATCAGACAAATTTGTACTAAAAAAAATTCTCTATAAAATTTTCTAAAATCCTAAAGACTTACAGCAACTCGGTATACTTCAAAATCATTTTTAAACGCAAAATATTACAAATATGGACTGCTGAATCGCATTTATTTATTATAACTATTGTATTTTCCAAAGGATTTGTCCGATATAAATAGTTTATCAGATAAATTTATACTAAATAAAATTATCTATAAAATTCTCTAACATCATAAAGCCCTACAGCAACTCAGTATACTTCAAAATCACGTTCAAAGAAAATTTATACAAAATTTTACAATAATGTCTCCACTTGATATTAAATTTACTTAGGCTAATATGGGTCATATTTAATTTTGAGTATGAAAAAAATATATCAATAAAAAACAAATAGGCATTATTTATCCTAAACTAAAGGCTTTTTGGGCCTTAATATATAAGTAGGACAAGTTTTTTTTAAAAACAATTACTAAGTCATTATTAATTTTTAATAAATTCGGATGGAGTGTGATATATTATTACACTTTGTTCGATTTGGATGAATATTTGGGACTAAAATTATGGCTGCAATATTAGAAACAAAAATATAAAAACATAAACTGCCAGTAAAAAGCTCAGAATTATAGTTTAACATAGTAAAAAATAATATTGTAGCTAAAATAAATTTTGAGTATTGATTTTTACTATTGGTCCCAAATTTTCCCAAAAATTGTATTAAATTTGTAATTTTGTAAACTATTTAATCCTATAAGTTAATGAGCCAGTAACTTAGTAGTAATTAACTGAAAAACTAAACAAATCCCTTCAATTACTAAAATGGTCCTAAAAACTACACAAAACGACCTAAATCAACTTAGGGAAATTTTTAAAGTGTTTTAAGCTAGATAAAAAAAAATAAATAGCAAAACACTGTAATAAAAATTATCATTAATTGTAAATAATAATAATAATATAGGAAAAATATTTATACGGGGTTTTGAACATAAATCACGACACTTATACTCTGAAAAAAATAGTTTGTAAGAATTTTTTATGTACATAATACTCTAAATTTATTTTGAAAAGCACTGAATGATTTTCGCACGCAATTCGAATTTGTTTTGGTCGAAATCAAGTGTAAAGACTGTCAAATTTTTTTTGGGGATGAAAATGTGTATATTGTTTAATGTTAGTGCCATATACCAAAGGATTTTTAATTTAAATGGACACAGGAATATTTACATGACATACTAATGTATGGGAAAAACTTCTAGTAGCTTGGACTTAGATTTTCTTCTATGCCATGACTTTTCTTACATTTTACCAAATAACTTTTTACACCAATTTGGTATTCGGACACCAAAATCTACACAAAATTGTCTATAATTCGGCATAAACAAATATCATTTATCTCAATTTATTATCATATAAACCAGATTCAAAAAAGTCCATTCTAAAAGCACTTTAACTAGTATTATTATTCTATAAAGCAGTATGTTGTGTGTGTGAATGTTTTTTTACGTAAATTAAATATATAAATAAATATATTGAAGAGTATGAGGTGCCAATTTAATACACTTATTTAATACTAAAAACGCGTTGTATGTCCGACTGTCCGTCTGTCTGTTTTTTTGTGTAGGAAGGAAATGTTTTTAGCTGATGGAAAAATAAAAAAAACGACTCCAATATGGTTCCAAAAATGTTAAAATTTTGCACAAATATTTTTAAAGGTGTGTTTAATATGCTGAAAATTTTAAACTAATATTTTCTTATTATATATTCATTTTTGTTAATTTTCAAAATCGTCTAGTGTTTTGTATACTTAAAATTATAGGTCGGTGCAAAAAATGTGCAAGCACTTTTTGAAATATTTATATCTACTCTATTTGAACTCCAAAATTGTCAAAATATGGGACAAATATTTTTAAAAGTATTCTTTAAATACTAAAAATATGAAACTGTTGTGTCATCAATATTTGTTTAATTTTTTTAGTTTCTAAAATCGTCTCTTATTTGTATACGAGTTGCAAATATCACTGTATATTGCAAAAAATGTGCAAGCACTTTTTGAAATATTTTTATCTACTCTATTTTAACCCCAAAAAAGTCAAAATTTAGTACAAATGTTTTTAAAAATATGCTTTAAATACCAAAAATATAAAACCATTGTTTTATAAATATTTGTTTAATTTTTTTAGTTCCCAAAATCGTCTATTATTTGTATACTAAAAATTTGGTGCAAGTATTTTTGAAAATATTTATACATTTTAACTCCAAAATAGTCAAAACTTGGCACAAATATTTTTAAAAGTGTGTTTTAAATAATATAAGACCTTTGTTTTATCAAAATTTGTTTAATTTGTTTTAATTTTTAAAATTGTCTATTATATGTATATTAAAAATTACACGAGTCGGTGCAAAAAATATGCAAGCACTTTTTCAAATATTCATATCTACTCTATTTTAACTTCAAAATAGTCAAAATTTGGCACAAATATTTCTAAAAGTATACTTTAAATACCAAAAATATAAAACCGTTGTTTTATCAAAATTTGTTTAATTGTTTCAAGTTCTAAAATCGTCTATTTTTTGCATATTATAAATTATATGAGTCTGTGCAAGCACATTTTGAAATATTTATATCTACCCTATTTTAACTCTAAAAAAGTCAAAATTTGGCACAAATATTTTTAAAAGTATAGTTTAAATGCCAAAAATATAAAATCATCGTTTTATTAATATTTGTTTGATATTTTTAATTTCTCAAACCGTCTATATTTGTATACTAAAAATTTGGTGCAAAAAATATGCAAACACTTTTTGAAATATTTATATCTACTCTATTTTAACTCCAAAATAGTCAAAATTTGGCACAAATATTTCTAAAAGTATACTTTAAAAACCAAAAATAAAAAAACATTTTTAAAATTGTTATTAGTCTATTTCCATCAGCTTTTAACAAATGCAAAGTTATATATATATAAAAAATTGCATATATTAAATGTTTAAGGAACTTAATATTAAACATAATGATGTATTTAATGAAAATGATAAAATTAAAATTATATAATTATAATTAAGTTAGAATTAACGTTCGTACGTCTAATATGATATTATTATAAGTAAGGATATATATAAATATAAATATAAATAAATAATAATAAATGACAAAATATATGAAAATAATATATTTGTTCGATTGGTTTTGGTAGGGTGGAAAAAATAGCGAAAAAGTCTGTAACTTGTTTAATTTAAATTTGAATTATTGGGAATTTTGACAAAATATAGCTGATAGTATATATTTTTGGGCAAAAATATGCAAAAAAATATTTTTTGATTATTTGTATTTTTTTTTTAAATCACAATATTGGATATATAATTCTGTATGCATTCAGTATCACATTGTATACTTGTTCAAAAATTTGTATCTTCTTGAATAAATTTTCAAAAAATTTGAAACTTGCACATAATATAGCTGAATGTGTATATTAACAAATAAAAATACAAAATAAACAATTTTTGGGACAAATTTTAAATAAAACAGCTTAGACAATATGCACGAAGTTCTAATACATTACAGTCGTTTTCTTATTACAATCGCTATTTTTTTCGTTTATATCGAAAATCAATCGAATAATCGATAATTTGTAGTCGCTAAGTGTCTGCACCGTGTATACCTACATCCAATTTAATTTTTTTCGATATAAATCCTTAAAACGTTTAATTTTCGATTTTATTCACGCCACTATCATCGTGTACCAGTTTGTGTGTTGAAGAGAAAATTTCACTTTTATGAAAAAATTAGTAAAAATTTCATAAAAAATAGAGGAAATTGTGATTTGTTGATTTCGTGAAACTTTTGTGAAATTTTTGCATAAATTTTGCATTTGCAATAATTTTTGGAGTGATTTTCATTCACGTCTGTGTAGAAATGTGTGGTTGTTGGACGATACAAG